CTTGTCTTTTGTTTGTGTTCCTGGGGGTAACCACCGGGCTCCTTGGCTCAGGCGGGCCAGGGGTATGTGTGAGGAACAGGAAAAGAGCCGTCCTCCACCCAGGTCTTCAGTGAACCCCCCTCCCCCTTGCGTTCACCCCCTGCTGCTGCAGCTCCAACAGGCAGAACTCCCTCAGCCAACAAGGGAACGTGCCCGGTTCCCTCTCTCGAAAATTGCCGTTTTCTCTCCTCTGTTTTCCGTCATTAACACTCTTCTCTCTAACTCTTACTTTGCATAATTTTATTGAAACCTCATTTCCTTTGATATCTTTGCTCCCCTGACTTTCTACCACATCCTGAAAAATTCATCTCTTTTCTATTTCAGAATATCACTAAAGGGAGAGGCAATAAGCACAGACATTCAATCTGCTATCTCAAACTGGATTTCTACAATTATTTGCCATGGTAAACATACACACACACACAAGAAAAATATACCAAATTCAAACCAGACATGGTGTTTGGGATAAGGACGTGTTTTGAGCTATTATTGTGTTTTCCTCTTTACTGGGCTGGTGGAGCATGCTTGCAGTGTCTGCCTAGGTCTCTTAGAAGACCACCTCTCGGGCTGCTCCCTGAGAACCCGCTGTGATGCTGTGGGAAACACCAGCCACAGAGAGCAAGGGCATGAGATGCGCTGGCCAACAGCCTCAGCCGAGCAACTGGCTGACAGCCAGCATCAGCTGCGGCCTCGTGAGCGAGCCAGGTGGACACCTAGCCAGGCCCAGGTGGGAGGTGACTCCAGCCTCCCAGGACTAAGACCACATAAGGAACCGCAAGTCAGACCTAGCACAGAACCATGAGAGCTGATGGCATGTTTTTTGTTTTAAACCACCACCATCTGTAAGGGTTAGCTACGTTGCAACTGATCACCTCAGCATCCCCAAGCTTTACAGTCAAGTGAAACAGAAAGGCACGAAGTAGACTTTAGTAGTCAAATACAGTAAATACGCAATGACAAAAGTGTGCACAAGATGTTATGAGGAAACTGAGAAGAAAAACCTTGCCATGGCTGGCGTAGCTCAGTGGATTGAGCGCGGGCTGCAAACCAAAGTGTCGCAGGTTCGATTCCCAGTCAGGGTACATGCCTGGGTTGCAGGCCATGACCCCCAGCAACCGCACATTGATGTCTCTCTCTATCTATCTCCCTCCCTTCCCTCTCTAAAAATAAATAAATAAAATCTTTTTAAAAAAGAACCTGGTTAAAGAAAAACCTTGAGAGATAGTTTGGGGGGACAGGAAAGAATTTCTAGATAAGATGACATTTAAAAATGAGACTTAAAGGGAGAATAAAAAAATTGTTCTGGCAAATGAAAAGCTGGTAATGACAAAGGAGAATGGTGTTCAGGGAACCACAGGCCTTAAAACTTTACTGGATTCAAATTAGGGGGAGACAATGATTTGAAATGAGATGGAAGAGACAGGCCCGGCCTGGGGCCGCCTTGTCCAGGGCCCAGCATAAGCCCTTTTGAGGGTTCCGCACCTGATCACGGAGGAGACCGGAAGACATGGAAGATCTTCCATCTAAAGGGCAGCACGGCGAAATTCATCTTTAAACTGAAGACCGACGGCAGAAGTGAGAGAGAAAAAGTGGGGGTCCGGCCAGGGGAGAAAACCATTGTAATAATTCAGATGATGCAAAAGGAGATTCGGCTCTAGGTACACACGGAGCAGTTGATGGATTTAGAGGTATTACCGAGAAAAAGTTAACAGAATTGTTGATGGATGGAAGGCAGGGATAAAGTATAACTTTCCTGCTTCTTGCTTTGCAATGGAGGAGAAAAAATGTGCTACAAACTAATATGATTGAGGGGAAAATATTGATTTGAAATATTGAGTTGGAGGTGCCTGGAAGAAATTGAGAGAGTGACATCCAGCAAACCTCGGGTATATAAATATCAGGCATGAAGGAATTAGGGTTGGAAATTCACTCATTCACTCATTCATTAAATCATTATTGATTAAGTGACTGCCAGGTGCCAGGCCCTACTCTGGGTGATTAGATTACAGAGAACAGCAAACAGACACAGAGGCTTCCTCGTGGAGAATGGATTCTAATAAAGGAGGCAGAGAGTAAATAACCAACCTAATTAAAAATAATAAATAGAGACGGATTGGGGTGCTCTTTTAGACAGGGTGGTGCGGACAGGCATGGGGCCGGGATAGGCAAGGCTTAAAAGCCAGCCAAGGAAAACAGCCACCTCGAGTGAGAACAGGAGACAAGAGGGGAAAGAGGACAGTGTGGCTGGAGTCTGGCGGGTCGTGGACATGACAAAACGAATCCAAGACCACCCTCACTTACGCAACCAAAGGCGGACACTCACTCAAGGTTTGTATGACCTGCTGCATCATCTTATTTTTTCTAGAGTAACTGAGTTCACCCGTGTTAAATGATTGTTGAAAACCGAAATAAGTAACAGTATTTTTCAACACGATGGCACATCCCTGGAGTGTTGGCACCATATATCACATGTCTGAAAGAAGCATGTCAGTCTTTCATCAAAAGGAGCCTCACACACACAAAACAGCTCAAATATAATTCAGCATATAATTAGGAACTTACTTTTCTAATACTAGGCATAAATGTTTAAAAAGTCACATTCTGCCCTGGCTGGCGTAGCTCAGTGGATTGAGCGTGGGGTGCGAACCAAAGCGTCGCAGGTTCGATTCCCAGTCAGGGCACATGCCTGGGTTGCAGGCCATGGCCCCCAGCAACCACACATTGATGTTTCTCTCTCTCTCTCTCTTTCTCCCTCCCATCCCTCTTTAAAATAAATAAATCAATAAATAAAATCTTTTTAAAAAAGTCACATTCTTTGTTTGAGGCATTGTATATGTACACCATTTCATGTAGGTCTATTTGTACGCATGCCTCTCTAAAGAGCGCTGGCTAAATTTATGCAGGACTATAGGAATTTCAAAGCAATTTTGTTGGCATCCAAGGCTATCTTTATTGGCATACATAGATTTCCACTATTTTCTTATGCATGTGTTGGAAAACACAATATTTCTAAATCTATGGTACGCATCCCCTTTTTTTTTTCATTTTGTTCTAAGTTCCAGTCACCAATTTAAGTTACAGTGACCTGTCTGAAGTGACTGTGAACACAAAAGTGGATTCCCCATTTCCTTGCTGAGCTAGGACCCTTTGGAATAGCTGATCCAGGACACAAGCCACAAGGAGCTTCATGGACTTTCTTCCAAGGAGAAATGTGGTATAAACTACTGTATATGGATAAGATACGATGTTGCCCACAAAACCATCACATTGATTGTATGGAAGTGTAGGAGGGATTTACTATAAAACAAATGGCTAACTACAAACACTGTCAGAATTATGTTTCAGGAAAAAAAGCATGCAATTTTATTATATTTATTTTAAGAGCAATAGAGGAAGTATTAGGATCTTGGTGAATTTGTGTTGTTTAGTTATAGCTCTTGCTTTCAGTGGCATGTACAAAAGAAGTTTTGGGTTATCACTAAACTCGATTGTTCTGTACACATGACTAAGTTTCTCTTATGTCAAGTATGTTGCCAGTATTCTAAGATCATCCGTTTTCGTTTGTAACATAATTGCCATACATCGCTCACTTCAGTATTTAAGTGTTACCAGCTCTCACATTCCTCGGGCCAAGTTTCATAGCATTTGTCCTCTTATTAACTCACACACATACTATCAGGGTAAAATAGATGCAATGTGATGCAAATCCTTGCCAATTATAACCTTCGAAAGTATTTGAATCTTAATTGAGATTTCATTGTATTAAAAAAAACATGGACCTTTCAGTTAAAGATTGGCAGAGATTTTACACACAGTATGTGTCTGATATCTCAAATAATTCATCACCTTTTTGATGTGGAAGCAAGGTTCATAGCTTCAGGTCACACATTTGAATCCTTACGAAGTATCATTTCTAGAAAAGTCCACATCAGGGAGGTTACAAGGTGGTTGCCAACGCCTCCCCACCTCTTTACCTTTCAGAACATTTACCTTCTCCAGCTTCAAAGAAATCAGGAGGCCGGAGAAGAGTTAAATGATGCAGGGTGTGAGGGTTCATGGTTTGCTCTTCCTCTTCACTGAGGAGGCAGCTATTCTGCCTCTTTTCTTGAGCTCTAGGAAACAGGCGTGTTTGGAAGCGTGGAGTAATCCCTTTCCCACCCCACTGTCCATCCATCACTGAATTCTTCCTCAGGCACCAACAGGAGTCAAATCGACAGGGAAATTATATTTCTGGGCATTACGCTGTGTGAGAGGGAAGATTTCATCAGTGGGGCGTCACTAATGAAATACCCCATGTATAAGAAAAAAAGAAAGCCTCCTCATGTATTTATGCATAATATTTTCAGATGATCAAAAGCTCTAGGCAGATCAATACACATTAATATTAACCAAATAGATGGTTCCAATAGTCTATTCAAAAATGACAGTGCGTATGTGCAGATAAACCAGCGACAGACTTTGTGCCTTGGACAGAAAATACACATTGAGAGTCTGCCCTGCAAACTTTGTTTAAAGCAATAAATATGACAGCGAGTCCTCTGTCAATGACAGCAGAAGGTTCCAGGCGCTGTCCGTTCCCTAATCCTGTATCTAGCTGACTCTTCTTCCTCTGCAGCTCACGTTGCCAGCAAAGGCTGAACGGGAGCTGGAGAGTCGATCCTTGTTTGGTTAACAAATTCCCCGCAAAATATCCCCCCCAAGCCCCCAGGAGCCGTAGTGATGTCATATCCGTTGCCCAGGTCCCCACACCTCTCGCAGCGCTTACTCCCTTTCTCCGTTCCCCGGGTCCAAACTTTTGAGGTGGACGGGCCCCCACCGCCGCGGGAGAGAGGGCGGGCCGGGGCGCGCGGGGCGCGCGGGGCGGAGGCGCTTCAGCACCGCGGCCAGCGCCCGCTGCAGCCCACCCCGCGGGAGCGCGCCACTCCGGCTCCCGCTCCGCTCGCTCCGAGATGCCTGCGGAATGATCGCCCCCCAGGGCGGCTGCCGCGGCTGCTGCTCCCGCCGCCGCCTCCTCCGTCTCCTCGCCGCGCCGGCTGGCGGGCGGAAAGTGCAGCCGGCGAGGGCAAGGTCTCCGCAGTGACACTGGAGTGGCCGCGGAAAAGAGAGTGAAGAGGGGGCGCACACAGCCGGATCAGAATGCAGGCGACGTCCAACCTACTCAATCTGCTGCTGCTGTCTCTGCTCGCCGGATTAGACCCTTCCCAGGTACGCGCAAGGCTTTAACTCTTGTTTGAAATAAAGGTGCAGTAGCAGACAGACCGACCGAAAATGCAAACGCACAGACCTCCCAAACGGCACGGGAGACGCCTGGCGTCTTCGCACTGCCTGGCCATAGCAAGGCGAACTACCTACCCGAGGAATAGCTCCTCAAGGTAGAGTCCTGGAGAGGGGGCGCGAGGTGGGGGGCGGGGGGGGGGTGCCAGGAGCGAACGCAATGGGCACGGGCAGCGGGCAATGCGGCTCTCCGGGGATCGGGGACCGGGGATCGGGGATCGGGGCTCTTTCCGGGTCCGAGTGCTTCGCGTGCTCTTCTGAAGTCGCTCGGGGAATGCGAAGGAGTTCGCGGCGGAAACAATGCAATTTGTAAACATGGATGGGGAGATGCTGAGCCGTGTCTTTGTCGAAAGCAGAGGAGCGGTTTTTTTTTTTTTTTGTCTGTTTGTCTGTTTGTTTGTTTTCTTTTTTTCTTCCCTAACCACCCCCTTCTCCCCACCCAGCCACCACCACCCCCCACCCCCCCAGCCCGCGGATCCCGGTCGGGAATACTCCCATGGCAGACGTGCTGCGGGCTGTGTCCAAATAGTGGGGATGGTGCTGAGAGCACACACACACGGCAGAGAGGCAGAGAGGCAGAGAGACAGAGCCGTCCTCTCCGCCGAGGCTGCAGGCAGGCGGCTGGAGGGGGCTTGTGTTTCTCTTGCTTCTTTCCTTTCATTAAGGAGATTGGGGGGCACCGAGGAAGTTCTCATGAGCAGTGGTAAGGAACAGGAAGTGAGAACCCTCTCCGACCCGGAGGGCCGGGGGAAGGCGAGGAGCTGCTGAACTCTGAGAAGCATCCAGCAGCCCTGGCCATTCGAGTGCACGCTGAGCTCTTTTTTTTGAAAAAAGGCAGGGAAATCAGGAGAAATGTGTTGAGCGGTGTGTCAGAAAAGTCTGGATGATAAAGTGAGATCGTTTGAGAGCCTCAGCATCGTAAGAAAATCTTCATTACCCAGAACAAGAGATAAGGCGTCTGGTAAAAAGAGTATGAGTTACAATTTTTGAAATGCTGTTACTTGTTTAACTGGTCCAGAGCAATCGATCTGACACGGCAGGACGAACTGATGCCATGTTACAAAACCAGTTAGAGCTGTATTTTGGGATATTGTGAAGACATTTTTAAAGCTTTGCATCATCTCTGCGGTGGAGAGAAATTAAGTTTCTTTTCATAATTGACGAGAACTAATTAAGGTGTAACCAAGCGTGGTCTAATGCTGTAGCTGAGTGGGTATTTCTAGGCCTCATACAGTACACAGTGAGAACTTAGAATCACCTCGTACAGACTCAGAATGATTCCTGTGCACTCTTCATGTTGCGGGAGACCTGATGGGAATACAATCATTTTATTTTAAAGCTGTGGGTGTGTTGCCATTGTCACTGAAATCTTCCGTGCGAATGCCCTCTTAGTGATCTTAATGCGACGTTTTACATACTAAGGGACAGCTTGAAAGCATTTACATCAAGGTAAAAAGTGTTGTTTTTTATTTTTATATTTTCTAAATCTCAGTTTTCTTCTTGCCTCTCGATCTATAGTGCACGTTCTGCGACCGCTAGTATCATATTACATTGGTTAAAACTTTTAAACAAACTCCATGATGTACTTCATTTGGAATATTCTTGGTAAAGCATTTTTAAAAACCAAACCTGATCTCAGAGTCACTGCAGAAAAAAAAAATCTCTCGACTTCCAATGAGTTTTGTCATTCTTCAAAATGCATTCAGAAAATGTGGAACTTTACAAACAACAGCATTGTGGTTTCCTGCTGTGTTTAATACATAAATCTCTTCGCTTTTGGTACTCTGTTATTTCCCAAATTGAAGATCTGTAATCAAAGAAGGGCTTCTGTTAAACATTGAGATAGGTCCTCCACATAAATGACCCACTTTTAGTAACATGATCTTTTCTGGGATTGATGCATTTATTTCTGGGTATCCAGCAATCTGAAACTTCCCGGAGACTTCGCTGTGGCTGTTTGGCGTGACAGAGCTCAGGCGTGTCAGGGAGGGGGACACACGCGTGAACTTCCCAAACCGCCTCTTCTCAGCTGCGGGCACTGCCACGCAGAGTGTGGAGGAGAGAAGACGGCCCTCCGTCCCACCCCACGTGTGACACTGTAGAGAACATTCAGCTATTCATAGCAAGCGATTCCGATGCTGTAAAAAGTTTTGGGACCTGGAGACAAAAGGTTGCTTTAGAAGTAAATAAAAGTTACTTTTGTATGTTTCAGCAAACTACTGCTGATCACCAGTCTGCCACCCCTCCCCCAACCGCAGATGGCACCGATCAGTTCTCAGACCAATTATGCATTAGGTTGTACAGTAGGAATTTCCTCAAATGTTATTGTTGTATGAACTACTTGAGGGTTTACTTAGTAAAATTAGCATTCATACTGTAAATTATGGTTAGTGAAACTGAAATTAAAAATCCAATAATAGATTACCACACGGGGCCACAGTTTTGGGACAGACAAGTAATAATTAAGTGATGACCCTTGAATGAACGGCAATCTCAAACAGCAGATCGTGAACACTAACACACTGGGACTGACATATGTCATAATAACATGTTAATATTAACGTATTTCAGTAGTCTTCTATGTTATCACACTGTGTGTTTACAGTGGGCATATTTCTAATCACACGTGGAAATACTGGCAAAACGGGGGGGCTCTTCAAATTGAATCAATTTTTTTTTCAGGTATCAGATTGCCACATACACCAAATATTGTAAATCTAAGTCTGAGAGAGTGCCTACGGTATCATAATTTACCTGAAAACAAAAAGGCTTTCTAACAACAGCACCGATTCCACTGCATAGAATGCTGTGTAATGTTCATGTTTATGATGATTTTTCCTGAGATTGAATCTTACAGAGCTCCTATGACATTTGATAAAGTACTTAAGTATCGCCACCTTATGGTAAGATAAGTTACTTGAAACTCAGTTTTATCTTTAAATTGTAAAAAAAAAAAATCCCAAACTTCTATATTAATAAGATGAACTTACTTCCAGCATGTAATTATTTCTTTCTTTTCTCTCATTTAATACATTATAAAATTAGCCAGATCAGTATTCTCTTTTGGCAAAGGAAAGCAATTTACTGCTAACTAATTATTTGTATTTTTATAGAGACAGATTATCAATTTTCCTCTCAGGAAAATTATGAGAATTATGTTTCCTTAATTAAAATCTTATTAACAAGTTTCCAGTTTCATTTAAAACTCATGGGTATCACTTCACCTATTTTAAGAGATATTAATTAATTTCATCTGTAATGAAGTATGTGAAGTACAGGCAATAAGCCAAATCATCACTCATTCAGTAAGTTTTTTTTTTAAACCTGAAAGCTTGGAGAAATTCACTCATGGCTCAGTTTCAGAGAGAAAAGACGTTTTCTGTGTAGGAAGTTCCTGAGGGCGGCTGCTAGGGGGCATCTCTGTGCTTCTAAACGGAAGGAACTGAGTTCAGTAATGACCTTGATAGTACGAAAGTGAACCTTTTCCTTTCACAAGATTTTCAGCAGACCATTATTTGAACGTAATAACAAAATAGCAATTGCTGCAGGTCCGAACCATGCCTTTCTCTGCTCTGCACTGCTGGATTAAGAAGAGAGGAGGATGAACATGAGACGGTGCAGGTTTTGAGCAGAACATTAACTCTGGAGTCAGACACTTGAGTAACAGTTAAAAGAGGTGGCGCGGCCACCGTGACACAGGACAGTGACTGTGCACTTGAGAGAGGTCATACTTGTGTGATAAATACATTGCAGAATGCCCTGGCAGGCTCAGATGGAGAAAGCATTATCTTGTTACCTAGAGATACACTAAAGAATCACCACCACAGTGTTGCTCACACTACAGACCTGAGCTGTAACAATGATTCAGCAGTAATCCGCACCAAACGACTCTTTCTGTCCAAAGGAACCCAGCCACTTGAAACTCGCCTTAAATGAGGCCGTTGCTTTCAAGCCACATAAACATGACAGCAACTAAATGAATTTCAAGAATTATCCTGCTAAAAGTTTCTTAGCACAGTACATCACGTTTAAGTGCCTTTGTGTTTTAGGACAGCGAAGGCAAGTCATCAAAGACTTAAATTGGCTAGAGGTGACTTTCAGACATAAATTGGTTAAGATTCCTATGATTTTAAATGACATTGAGAAAAAGCAAAAACAGGAAGAGAAATAGGCGGAGGCCGGTATACTTTGCTTCAACATACACCTTAAGTCATCTGTCTTCTCCTGTATCCACGGGATACCAGACACGTCCTCCCTACAGCAGGACCCACGCACGTTGCAGCAGCGGATGTAGATCGAGGGCGTGCGGCCAGGGCCTGCGGACGCGCACAGCCAGCCCCGGCAAGGCGGGGAGTGCGAAGTCCGGGGCAGCCCACCCGTGTTTTGAAAGAGCAACGACTTTTCTACTCTCCTTGTATCCCGTCCTCCTGGAGCCAATTACATTCTTATTTCGCAGAAAATATTCTCTCCTCGGTCTTTCTGTTGGCAACTTGAAAAGGTTAAAATTGTACTGCTTTCCTTTATTTTTTAAAAAAAAATTACTATGCCCTGTATTTCGCAACTATTCTCTTCAAACGAACAAACAACATAGAAACAGACTCACAGATTCAGAGGGCAGTCTGACAGCGGCCGGAGAGCAGAGGGGCTGGGGGCTGGGAGAAAAGGTAAAGAAAGGGATTACGGGGAAAAAACAACCCTCCAGATACAAGCAACAGCCTGCTGAGGACCAGAGGGAAAGGGGGCGACGGGGGGGTAGAAGAGGGTGAAGGGGCATAAATGGTGATGGAAGGAGACTTGGGGTGGTGAACACACAGTACCATATACCAATGCTGTGCTATAGAATTGCACACCTGAAACCTATGTAATTTTATTAAGCAATGCCAGCCCAATAAACTCAATGAGAAAAGGACTACTGTGACAATCGGTCGGTG